GGGAAAGGACTCTGGAGCTCGGTAGGATAGACATTGAGGAAGTCATCACGAGGCCACTGGAAAAGAGACAGATCAGAAAACATATTATTCTTCGAACGGAGGTGGACATAAAAAATGAATGGATTTTAGGGAGAAACATAAACGCGTTATCAGGACAGAGCTAGTCGGAAACATCTGGCAGGCGCTCTATGCTCCCACGAGGGGCACAGGGCATAAGTAATGTGAACGATATGCATTCTTCTACCGCGTCTAGCGGATTTTCGAATGCATTTATGTGGGAAAGCACTGCCAGCTATACTTCATGGGTACTGTCCTTCGTGAGTCGCACTGCTAAATATCATAGAATTGAAAATTCTGAGAGAACAAATGAGTTCATATTCAAGCAACAGATCCAGAAACTTCAATAGTGTATAACGCTTGGAAAAACCAGAGTTCTCAGCCACTTCCAGAAGAAATTCAAGGTATGAGTTGGGGAGGTAGATGTCTACAGTCCATGTGTAAATCACTATTATTAATAATAGATGGAGTATTATATTTTCGTTATGGACCACACTATTCGAGATAATCAGCATGACTCCAGAAGAATAGATTATAAGACAAACGCTTTGTGATAAAATTAATTATCGACTAAACTATTAAGCAAAGTGATATGTTTCTAATTACAAGTACAAGCTTTATCCCACCGATCAAGTTTTATTATAGTCACTGGTCTGCATGAATCATTGTCGTGCTCCATTTTGTTTTTAAATATCAAGTCTTCGAAAGTGACGGAGATGACACACTGAAGCTAACTTTCTTGCAAGTTAATTTGTTCTGTATCTTTAAGGCTGTAAAACTATAGGGATTTTCACTAACACGTCCTCTTCCCGATTTCTTCTGATCACTCTACAAGCTAATAATAAAAGTTATCGATGTTTAATAATACACTCCAAAATTTCATGTTTTATCATGATTCATTCGTCGACAAAATATTCTTTAAGAAAGTTCATTTTAACAACAAATCTGGGTTGGAAAAAATATGTCATTTTCATTATAAGACTTAGTGATATTTATAACAGAAGTCATTTTGTGACATTTTGTACATTTTGGTAAGGTTTTATTTCTTATAATAAGGTTTTATACTCAAGATGATTACAGAATATAGGGGTGAGATTATAATTTTTGGACGACCTTTGAGCGACGCTAGACTGACCTTGAGAGTGTTCATCTAATAACCAGGACCAAATGAGGGTTATAAACCTGTGTAAAGAGTCGGAATTATGGTTTAGAGTTGATGATCAAGGTTAGAAATTAGATTTTGGGTTTTCATCACGAACTGACATCAGTTTTAATGCCAAAACTCTATTTATTTGAATAAATGAGTGAATTTCGCGCCAAAATTCGAAACTTGTAACCTTATACGTGTTTGGTTCTTCCTTAAATTATAGTCTTGCCGAGTATTGGAGGTTCTATTTTTTTAAGTTTGATGGATTAATTGATTGTCTTCTATCTTTGTAATATCATTGTTTGTAAAATTATCTTGTATACAGAGAGATTGAAAGTTCACTGTGATCATCCCATACCGTAGTGAAACATTGGGAGAAAGTAAGAATATTCTAAACGAACATAATATAAGAGTGTATTTTCGGGCTAGTGAAACCATAAGATCAGCATTAGCGAAATTTAAGGATAGGTTTTCATAGGAAGAACAACAGAATGTTGTCTATAAGATCAAAAGTCATGATTGTAATGCAGCGTATGTAGTAGAAACATAAAAACAACTGAATATGAGGTTGAAAGAACATAAACAATGCTTGAAAATTATTCCTGAATCCTCTGTGGACTTGAAGAAACTTGAGAATAGGTCGGCGATAGCGTTACAACCTTTGGAAACAGGACACAAGATCAGCTTTGAAGGGACCAAAACACTTCAGAAACGTTTTACCATACATAAAGAAAGATTGACAGCAGAAGCGCTGTATATATGCACTAGTAAGAACAGCCTGAACAGAAAGGATAGTATTCAACTAGCATCTATTAGGCAAATGTTTGTGAATAAGTAACTGAACTCTTTCTCTATCGAACCTGTTTGTTTCACATGCATCGTTATTGTGACTGAAATGAATTTGGGTTGTTTTAGCACTACAATTATGTATTGTTCCTAGTATGGAACTCCTCAGCAGTGCGCATCAACGATCCCACCCCCAGAAGATTCGAGCCCAGGACCTATCAATCACGCGCTTGAGCTCTTAACCATTAGACCTCTGACCTGGCATCCAACAGTCATCCAGTGCTTTCAGATTTTCTATGGTGGTCTAGCTTCAATTGACTCATGATTGCAACTGGTGAAATTTTTAAAATCTCCACAAAACCCCTTCTGATAATTATGTATTTGGTGATTCACATTTCAATGATTCAAAAACATTTTTATCAACCTTCAACTTCCACTTTTATTTTTCTTTCACAGAAAAAACAAATTAACACCAAATATCAACTAGTACTAACTCAAACTAACAAATAGAAACACACACACACAACTTATTCATCCATTTATTCACATATAACTGACTCATGTTATCCTATTTACTAAAGTTAACATCTAAATGCGATTGCATAAACACAATAAAGATTTGATTTGATAGTTAAACACTACGTATTTCTTTGATGACTTTCATTATTACCCTGAAGAAGTCAAGACAAGTTTAATGGACGAAACGTTGGAATTATCTTAAATTTCAATTGCTGAGTGTATCCCAAATATAATTTTCACATACAAAAATTCACTTTGCTTTGAATTGTATGTTGATGATTTTCTTTTCTAGAAAGATAATAATACCTTCTCGATTAAACCATGCATCTCATAGAACATAAGGCATTCAAGCAAACAGTCAAACCTGTTGAATATAACAAACCAAAGATCAATGTAAACAACCTCAATCACATTAAGTTTGTTTTATTGATTTTTAAAATCTTGTACTCACAAAACAGATCCTGGTCAATCTCTTTTAAGAAATGCGCTTCCTAGTACTTCATTCATAAATTTTTTGCAGATATGGATTGTAACTATAAGTGGGTTTGAATACATGAATTCCATCCCTTTCGGGATTCGTCAAGTAGATCTAAATAGAACTCAGTGTTGATGTTCATGTTGAAACTCGAAACAACTACGTACATTTTCAAGTTCAATATTTCATTTATTAAACTAATGCTTCTAAATTACGTATAAAGATATGTGTAAGCAATTGTATTTACCTACTATAATTGTGAGACTAATGCTCATTGTATTTCCTTTGAAATGCCTAAATAGATCCGCCATATATTTAGCAAAATCGAAAGTCAACCTTTTTCAGAAGTTTACAATTATACAACCCCATTCTCGTCACGAATAATTGACGTAAACCATTTGATTACTTTTAGTTGTGAAGTCATTCCAAATGTCAGGTGTAAAATTCAGAAATATATTTGATGTACATATATTACACTTCATACAAAAAGTACTTCTGATCTTACTTAATCGAATTAGTGGCTGAGACACCTTGGATCTAATGTTTGTACTAATTGGAACCCATCAGAAAGTTGTTGTTAGGATCTTGAAGTAGACGTCGGGCCTAAGAAAGTTCAAACCGATGACACACTGTTTTTTAGTATATGCAGTTACCACTTGCCTGTTTGAATTGCAAATGAACTCTTACGCAAGTGAGATGTTTATGTTGATTTACCAGTTGCTGATAACAAAGTTGGCATAATTGATTGATCACTGGGTGGTAATCAATGTCATGCTTGTCTTGTCCTTATTAGTGCAGGTCGAATGCTATCGATCATGTTGCAATGTGGCCACCAGTCTAGGTGACTCGACACTGCGGGCATTTTGTATTGAGATTTAGATGGTGGTTGAAGGTAGTCAACAGGAAACCCCGGATCAGGGTTTCGTGCTACTTGGCACTTGTCAGCAAGGTGTACCTGTAATCTTGAGGGAACTGGTGCTCCCTGGCGGATTCGATCTCGTGTCACCCAGCTTCACAGTCAGAGACGTTACCACTGAGCTATCCGAGCCGTGACTAACCTCCTGTAGGACTGAGATGTAATCACAATTGGTTGATCACTGGGTGGTGATCAATGTCTTGCTTGTCTAGTCCTTATTAGTGCAGATCGAATTTATTATTTATTTATTATTATTAGAAGCTTTATTCAACAGTATATTTTTGGTACAACATAAAATTCTCAGCATAAAGTATTTCAACAAATTTCCTTTTCTTATACCTTGATCTATTGTGACGATAAATTTTGAATGATGACCGGTTAGATGTTAGGAGTTCGGTAATCCACATTTGATTAATGTTCGTTCGTTTCAATGCATATTGCCAGCCACCATGATGTCGATGATTGTACCTTTTTGTATCACGTATAGCGAAAGGTTGTAAACTTTTCATAAACGCGCCTGAATAGATTGTGTGCACAATGGACATAATGATGAACTAAAACAAGCAACTAAAACAGATAACTTGATGAAATATGTAGATCGGAGGAACAGGTAGCCCAGATATTCAAGCAGGCCGCCACCTCAATGCTATCGATCATGTTGCAATGTGGCCACCAGTCTAGGTGACTCGACACTGCGGGCACTATTTATTGAGATTTAGATGGTGGTTGGTTGACTACCTCCAACCACCATCTAAATCTCAACAAAGTTGGCTCATATAATTTGATCAGTAACAATCAATTATGCAAATATAAGTGATAACTGCTTAATAATCATTCGGTATAAGTGTTGTTTTTATTTAATGCCTGCACTATGTTATTCCATAATAAAAAGCAATGTCCTAACATTATTTTGCCAGTCGATTACCACTCATAGATTTGTCTTAGCAACTAATGGTTGTGGATCTTGATAATAACGTCATTGAAACAAACTATTTTTCCCTTCGATCAGGAAATGGTTATTTTTTTAAAACACTGAATTGGACTACTTTACACAATATTAAGTAGTATTAGCTAAAAAGCAAAAAGTACACCAACCAAATAACATAGAATTTCGTATATTTGTCATATAATTACACATTATTTGCGTTTTATTTATTAAATCTTCACCGTTTATTACAGCCAAATTATTTTCACTGAAAAGTGGTACTTTATAAAGAACTCACACATAAAATAGTGATTGTTACTTATGTTTTATTCATTTCCGTTTTGACCAAGTGGTTTTAATAATGTTTTGACGTTCTACATTCTCTCCAGTTGAATGTTTTGGATTAGATTTAACCACAGATATTTTTTTGTTGCTAGTTTTAGAACCATCATTATGATAATTATCATTATCTATTTTTGAATCTTTTGAACTGTAAGCTAACAAAAGCATACGCATTTCTTCCAAACTAATTTTTCCATCATTATTAAAATCCCAATTTTGTAAAATCATAGATCGTGTATAATCAAGATCTGCTTCATCAAAATCCTGTAAGATAATCAACAGAAATTGCCAAGTGATTGTTAATATTTCATCTGAATCACAAAAAAATGTAATGAGTAATATACATTCAACATGACTTCTAGAGGTTCTAGAATGATAACGTTGAATAATGATAACTGCTTAAGATAAGAAAGCGATAATAGATAGATATGTATCCGAAAGGGCTTTAAGTAAATAATGATCGTGTCTATAGTTATATAAGAAATATGTAAACTGATTTAAGATATCCTCTATAGGTAGTTATGATACAGACTGTGAAAATGTTTGGTTTGATTGAGTTGTATAGATTACTAAAACAAACCGAAAATGAACTAGCTTATTGTAACCCATATCAAAAAGGTGCATTTTAGAATATATATATTGAAACAGGTTTTTTAAAAGAATCTTTGTTATATTCAGTAATATCTTAGCAAATGGATAATATTTGCCAGACTGCTTGAATATCTGAGCTACCTGTTCCTGTCATCTAGATATTTCAACAAGTTATCTGTCTATTAAACGCATAACCTATTCAGGCACGTTTATAAAATGTTTACGATCTATCGGTGTAAAAGTTACAAAAGAGCTCATTCAGAGACATTGTGTTCGCTGTTAATATACACTGGAAAGAATGAACATTATTCAAATATGGATTCCTGAACTGCTTACATCGAACTGGCGACCACCTAATATTTATCTCATGGATCAGTCAAGAAATAAGAAACGGAAACTTGTTGAAATATCTTGTGCTGATAAGTTTATATTGTACCAAAAATATAAAATTGATATTAATATTATTAATGATAATATAAATAATGTTGAAACTAGGCAAGGAATTATGCTACCATACAACGTGAATAGATGTATTAACACATCTATTCTATTCACTTAATTAAGTTGGGAGGAAGACATAATTCCTGTGTCTGTCAACATCTAGACAAGTTTTATTTGCTGTTCGAAGAGTAGTTCTACTTTATTAGGATCAATACTTGCATCAGCTCCGTCGCCATTGCTATATACGAGATATTACGATACCACGTAGCATCACAATACTTAAGGTACCTTAATGCCCGCCAACGGAAGTAAAAATAGCAACACAACAAAAGGACGAACGTAAGCTATTTCTCTGAGCCCCAGCCCTGGTAACTGAAAGAATAAATCCAGAGTCAATGGGGAACATAAGTTATTCTATAAGCAGCCTGTAACAACGAATAACAAGCACTCAACGCGTGCATAAGATATAGAATTCGAAAAGTGTCCTTGGAAAACGTCACAAAATAGCGTATCAAAAGAACAAAAAAAATTAATGACTTTCAAGATCTTTTAAGGTGGGAAACATAAACTGAAGACAACAATGGATGCTTTTTGGTATAAAAATAAGAAATTAAAGCTTTCAAAATTATATTACAAAAATAAGGAGTTAATCAAGTGATTTCCAAGGATCTAGAATACTCAACAGTCACTCTATGATATAAACTATTGGATCACGATTCAGTAGTCACAGAATGTCAAGTGCTCAATGTGAAACCTAAAAGGCTCTTATTTTGACTCCCATTAAAATCATGGATGCTCACTGTTGAGTTGTTTCAAACTAAAAAGAAACGACAAGTTTTGTTTCATATTTACTGACTATCTGACTAAAAGAAGTCGAGAACGTAAACTATAAAATCACTTATCTATTTTTACAAGTTATGTATCCTTATATGGCATAATTTAAATATCTTGAAATGATTTGTTACAAATAAAGAGTTAAAACAGCTTACTTCTTCAACAAGTTCAAGAAGATCTTTTAAGAAACCATACAATTCAAGATCTTCAATGGTTCCATTTTTATCCTTTGAAAGAAAAAGGAAAAAAGTGTCTTTTTTTAAATAAGCAAATTCTTTAAACTAGGTTCAACCCCTATCGTAGCATAGTGAATTGAAATTAAGATGTACATTGATAAGATGTAAACTTGATCTGAGATCTCTTCATAAACTGTAATCAATGTAGAATTGAATGAAAATCAGTTTGAATACTTTAAGAATGATTAGGTTGGTGATTTAGCTGTATATAGAACAATGACTGAAGTAAGTGTAATGTAGAATTATAATGTGCTACAAATGGTAAATCTAGATAAATATATAACTAATAATATCGTTGAATTGCTCTATGAGTTCGTCTTTTCTTTTCAAGATTCTGGTTGACGATATTATAAGTATCATTAATGCAACGACACTACAAGTAAGGCCTATCAATTACATCTTTCTTAAACTTCCTAATAATAAATTTGCATTTAGTCGGTTGTAATTTTTGAGAGGTTAAAGATGTATAATTAATTAATAACAGCTGAATGGTCACGAAGGTAACCATTCGTACGTGAGACCGAAGATACTAGATTTGATCCTCGCATGTAAACTCGCGAATGAGTACTGTTTAGGTGTCCCACACTAGAATAAAACGGCTATCGATTGCTTCCAAGTTTTAAATGACGGTCTAAGATCAATTCGTGATTTCCACAATGAAAATACTACAATTTCCATAAATCTTTTATACTAGTAATGAAAGCATCAATAAAGACGTAGATTTCAATCAGGATTATGTAATAACAAATATAATAAACCAACTATATAACAAATACCCATTAGGATCATAATCGAATTAATTCATTAAGAAGTAGAAATCATGTTCCATAGTGTACATATCATCTCTCATTCTAACACTAACTATTATTGAGTGACACCATGAACCGATTGATTTTAGACCACCGTTAGAAGCCTGGAAGCACTGGACAGCCGTTTCGTCCCATTGTGGTACTCCTCATCAGCGCGCATCCACTATCCCGCCTCGCGGGATTCGAGCCCAGGGCCTTCAGTCTCGCGCGTGAACTCTTAACCTGCTGGACCACTAAGCCGGCTGGCATTCAACTGTGTTAATGTCTAACATCAACCAATCCATGGAATTGCGCGACCATCTTCTATTGTACTGAGGTAGACACCTGTCTCTACTAGACATGGATTAGCTCCACTGGTCACGCCCTTTTACTAGAACTCAGAGAATTCCCTCACGAAGCAAGTCACTAGTGAGCACATGTTAATTATCAGTATAGAGATTGGTTGATGTTAGACACTAACACCATTGGATGCCGGCTCAACGGTCCAGTAGGTTAAGCGTTCGCGGGCGAAACTGAAGGCCTTGGTTTAGAATCCTGCGTGGAATTGCATTGCTGATGAGTCCCACAATGGGACGAAACAGCCGTCCAGTGCTTCCAGGTTTCCAACGCTGGTCTAACATCAATCGGTTCATGATCTCAATCAAAAACTTAATAATCTCCATAACCCCTATACTGATAACTAACTATTATGTTTGAATGATAATTATAAACAAATAACTTATCTATAGTATAAATAGTTGAGCATATTAAGTATTAGTGAAATAAAACTATGCTTACTGTATCATACAATGCAAAAACACGATCTACATCAGCTGCTGTAATTTTACCAGCATGTTTAAATATTGGACGACATAAAAAGTTCTCTTCCACTGGTATTAAACTATAAAATATTGTAGAAAACTAAGTTATTACAAATGAGAATAAACTAAGAAATCAAACATTGTTTATGTTAATAAATATTACGTAATTAGACTTATCAATTAGAGTGTACTATTAAAACTGATGAAATACAATGAGAACATCTATAAACAATTTCGAATATGTTTATATAATAATGAGCAATAGGAAGTAGTGAACTGGTCAAATACGTTGGATTAATATTTGATCAACTATGAGCTTATTGTCCCCATTTCAAGCTTGTTTTGATTCACCAATTATATCTGGGAACTGTATATTCCTTACTTACTTACGCCGCTCACCAGCATTCTCCACCCAAACCTGTCCTGGGCAGTTCTTTCCAGCTCCTTCCAGTTGTTATTCATCCTTTTCATATCTGGTTCTATTTCCCGACGTAATTTGTTCTTTAACCTTCCTCTTTTCCGCTTCCTTTCAGGATTTCAAGTTAGGGCTTGCCTAGTTTGAGTTGCGTAATGCATGTCCTATCCATTTCCATCGTCTTTTCCTAATTTCCTCTTCAGCTGGAAGCTGGTTTGTTCTCCCTCAGAGAAGGCTGTTGCTGATGGTATCCGCCAATGGATGTTGAGTGTCTTGCGAAGACAGCTATTTATAAATACTTGTACCTTCTTGATGTTGGTTGTTATGCTCCATGTTCAAGTTCCGTACAGTAGAACTGCCTTGACGTTGTGACTTTGATATTGGTTGAAAGTTGTTTTGAGTTCCATATGTTCTTCAATTGTAGGAATGTGGGCCTTGCTTTCCGAATCCTCGCCTTTACGTCTGCATCTGAACCTCCTTGTTCATCGATGATGCCTTCCAGGTATGTGAAGGATTCTACATCTTCCTGAGTTTCACCATCAAGAGTGATTCGATTGCTGTTCTCCTTTTTGAATTTGAGGACCTTGGTTTTCCCGTTGTGTATATTGATGCCTACTGATGCAGAAACTGCTGCTACACTGGCTGTCTTTATCTGGATTTGTTCGTGTGTATGCGATAGAAGGGCTGGGTCATTTGAGAAATTCAAATCGTCTAATTGGTTCTGATCTGTCCATTGTATGACGTGTTTTCCCTCAGATGTCGAGGTCTTAATAATCCAGTCGACCACCAGGAGAAAGAGGAAGGGAGAGAGTAGACATCTTTGTCTGACTCCGGTCCTTACTTGGAATGCGTTTGTCAGTTGTCCTCCATGCACGAATGATCATATTTTGTTACTATTATAGTATACCGAATTCAATAAGAAATATCACTAACAAGAAGAAACCAAACAATTGATTATTGCAATAGATACAAAAAAACAAAAACGCTTTCTTCATCCCTATATTTATATATTCCATCAATACATACAAGTGATCAAATCGTATAACCAAGTGAAAATAATGAAGTGTTAAAAGGAGAATGAAATAGTAACTTAGTTTGATATAAACGATAGGCTATTATTATTATTATTATTATTATTATTATTATTATTATTATTATTAGTATTATTATTAACGTTGATTCTCTCAAATTCACTTGATGTTGTTTATTTGTATCTTCCCAACGTTATTTAGGATTGCAATCGGTCAGTCTCATGTTGGCATATGTGCATGCTATGCGAACTGCCTCGATATTGTCTTAATACACAAGCTTTATAAGCAAAGATAGATAGTGGCTAGCAGTCAAAATTCAGGACGTGCGTTTCGTTCTATTTGGGACTTGTCAGATAGATGTACATGCATCCCAGAGTTAATGTTCACTCTAGGCATCAAACCGAAAACCGTTCGCTTCAAACGCCATCGCGTTATCCACCTATCTACTGAGCCCTGATAGCCACCTGTTTGTGTAATGCGGTGAAGTTTTAAATTAACTTGATGTTGTTTATTTGTATCCTTTCATTGTTATTTAGGACTGCAATTAATCAAGCTCTTATTGGCATATGTACATCGTGTGCGAACTGCCTCGATATTGCCTTAATTCATAAATAGGACGAAACGCGCATCGTGGATTCCACTGCTAGCCACTATCCATCTCTGTTGATTTTATCAGTTATAATTGTGGTAATACTTATTACAATTGTCATATCTCCCGTCACCATTGTTGTTATGAATCATATTGATGCAGAAAATAGCAGACATTAGGGTATTGAAAATCAAACCGTTGTGATCATCATCATCATTATCATCAAAACTTTCACACACACAAATCAAAAGGATAAGCAACTTAGAATTCATTTTAAAATTTAATAATTACTTAAACTGGCAATCTGAACACAGCTACGAAAAATACAATAGATTATCATATAATGCTTACTCAGTCTGACACGATAATGATTACCACTACTACTACTACTACTACTGACAACAAGAATACTACTCACAAAAAGCACTGTATTCAAGCATCATTTTGGCTTATGCATATAATGAACCAATCACAAGTAGCCAAATGAGAAGATTTTTTGATGACAATCAGAAATGTCCTAAAAGACAAATGTATACTGTGGAATGAGAAATGGATTGATTTTCTAAAGGTTCGAAACGTAAGTATGTAAAGAGTATCCATGGTTGATATTCGGTAGCTCAACAGGCTTTATCATGTGTTCTTGTTCTCTCATTCAGTATGGAGGTTAATACATATCACGTTGTGTTTCACTAACAGATCTCGGACATCGAGCAACACAACACAAATAAGTCTTCATCTACTGTCTTTATGCCTATACTAGTATCATCCTATTTACACTTTCCCATAGAAACTACAAAGTCATTTACATATCATGCAAACAACAGATATTTCTCATAATGCACAAAAGTATAAAAAGGAATTAAAATTTGTTTTTCATAAAAAGAGAAAAGAAAAAACTTACCGAGACATTTCACTTAGTTGTAATTTACCATCTCGATTATGATCGAATAATTTTAACTGAAAATCAAAATGTTCCAAGATGAATAAATTTGTATCACACACACACACACGCACACACACAAATTCCATTTCATAAATTCATCATTCCTCTTTTCCGGATCGATAAACATTTTCTGTTAGATGTTTCTTATGGCTTACATGCACAATTTGTTGTTTCTATTGTATCGAAGTCACTTATTACTTATACTTGAAAGAACAAGGAATCACTGCAATTCTTTCCCGCCCTCCACAACACGCGAAAGTGAGAAAATCAAGATTGGTAGAAGTGAAGATTTATTTAACTCAATGCACAACAAACGACTCTAGTACCGCTATTTTTAATGATTAAGTAGAATAAAATCATATCGATGAGAAATACCCCGAGTTATGAGTAAATAACATGATGCATGTCATGTTGAGCATAGTCCATATTCATTGAATACAAGAATATCGTACGTTGAACAAACATAATACTCAAACAACTCATCATCATCAGGCTATACTCTAATATATATATGAATCTTTATATAAAAATATTAAACCGTTCAAATCAACTTATGAGTCAGTGATCACCATGAAATAGATTGCATCACTAACTGCATATAATTTAATAAATGTACGGATTGATGGTTTAAAAAAAGATGAGAAAATTTGAATTCACGAGTCGAACTAAGCTACACCACTATTGAGAACCTGGAGGTACTGGATGACCATATCGTCTTGTACGGTGATCATGCACAAGTCTGCATAAAACGAACTCTAACACAGGACCTTCGGTCTCACGCTCGACCACTTTATTTCTAGACCAGTGAGCCAGCATTCAACGGTGATATTGTCTGACTTTAATCGATCTATGGTTTTTCAGCGAACCTTCGTCCGTTATTTCAGGTGAATAACTACCTCACATCTGACACGATTTGAACTTTATTGATCATGGCTTCTTACAAGAAATCCATCTTGAAGCTAGTTACTAGTGAGCACATCATTATTATAAGTATAAAGATTAATAGAAATTATAGTATTTTCAGTTGAATCCAATAGTCCATCTAGCTAATGGTTCAACATAAGAAGTAGGTCAAACTTTGACAAATAAACATTGAAATAATCACAAAACACTATTAGAATTATGTAATAAAAAGTATGTAAATGATTAGATAGTGAAGAATATAGATGAAAAGAAGTGAAAAAAATGACAAATAAATATAGGATATTAATGTCTAACTTCAACCAATCCACGAAGTTGCGCTACCGTTGAAGTTAGACATTAACACCGTTGGATGCCGGCTCAGTGGTCTAATGGTTAAGCACTCGCGCCCGAAGGCAGTAGGTCCTGAGTTCGAGCCCCGCGTTGTGCGGGATCGTGGATGCGCACTGCTGAGGAGTCCCATACTAGGGCGAAACGTCCGTCCAGTGCTTCTAGGTTTTCAATGGTGGTCTAGCTTCAACTGACTCATGATTTCAATCTGTGAAAATTTCTAAAAATCTCCACAAAAACACATTCTGAAAATATAGGATATGTACAAAAATCGTTTGTCAAATCATATCCGACCGAGATAGGAATAAGAATATAACGAAGTTCTTCAGGACACGTAATGGGAACTTCAGTAAAAGTTCATTTCAAACAAGATTAGATAGAAGAAAATAACGCAGATTTACTAATTCAAATGTTCATTAAAAATATTAAAAAAATCATTTCAAAATTCAATAGACTTATAATGTATAATCTATAACCAAATACTGATCATGGATTGTTTATTTACGGTATGAAAATATTTCGAAAACATTATACTACTTATATTACTTCTTTTAGCGAGTTATTTTTCTACGGCATGGGGTCATTAACCTTCCTCCTTTATCCGGGGTTGGGACCGGTAGTAGTTCCCGAGTGGCTCCAGGCGGAGACATTACTTCTAATACTACTCAATTAACATTGAGAAACGAACCGTAAGTAATGTATAATATAACATCATGTAGTAAATACAATATTCCATAATATGAAAGGATGATATTACGTAATGGAAACAGTAAAAAATTGTCTTTTTATTTACTTACAATTGTATCAGTATATTCAATAATCTTTTCATCAAATTTTTCATCATCTTTATGTATTCCAAATGATAGAAGTTCTGTTAGAAAATCCTTCAAATTAAATAATTAAGTAGAATAATTAAAACGAGTAAATATATTCGTTGTTAAAACAAAATTTTAAAAATCAGAGAGCAGTTTTGTGAATAGTATAGTAATTTAGTAATTGAATTTATGGATTAATGGAAGATAGACTATTATGGAAAATCTGAAAGCACTGGACGACTGTGTCATCTTAATATGGAACTTCTTAGCAGTGTGTATCCCGCCTCGCGAGATTTGAAACTAGGACCTGTCAGTCTTGCATACGAACGCTTAACCTCTGAACCATTGAAATTTGATAAAAATCTTTCAAATCTCAGAGTAGATTAACAATTAGAATGGGTTTTTTTGTGGAGAGTTTAAGAAATTTCACAAGTTGAAATCATGAGTCAGTTGAAGCCAGACCACCATTGAAAACCAGGAAGCACTGGACGGCCACTTCGTGCTGATATGGAACTCTTCAGCAGTTCGCATCCATGATCCCGTATCCCGCGAGATTCGAACCCAGGACCTACTGGCTTCGTGCGCGAGCACTTAACCACTAGACCACTGAGCCGGCATCCAACGGTGTTAATGTCTAACTTCAACCAATCCACGAAGTTGCGCCACCATACACCATTGTCTTCAGTGAGCTGTTATCTCACAACAGACCGGTTGAACTCCACTGGTAACGGCTTCTCACTAGAACTCCAGGAGTTTTTCCTGAAGTCAGTCACTAGTGAGCAGTTGATTATAATCAGAATGGGTTTCTTTTGTGGAGAGTTTAAGAAATTTCACAAGTTGAAATCATGAGTCAGTTGGTTCGAGCCCCGCGTGGTGCGGAATCGTGGATGCGCACTGCTGAGGAGTCCCATACCAGGACGAAACGGCCGTCCAGTGCTTCCAGGTTTTCAATGGTGGTCTAGCTTCAACTGACTCATGATTTCAACTTGTGAGATTAACAATTATTATTTTAAAGATTGTATATGGTTACTACTTGAACTTACCCATTCAATTTAAGAATGTAACTTTCAATTTTTAACAGAAATAAACAGTGATAGATTGCCCTGGTTAAATAAAAGTAATCCAGTCAGTATTAATCTAACAGTTATTTACTATCTTTGAACTTCACTGGATTATAAACTAAGAGAGTTGGTTCATAAACATATCTATACATTGTTCATCGATACAATCACTATGATATAAAGAAATTAGTATAGAAAAATAGCTTCAGAAATATCTGACTAATTACAGCTCCAAGTAGAATATATCGAATTTTATATCCATCTTCTAAAAAACTTCAGCACTGATCAACTAGAATTGTGTTATCCGATTTGATAAGTAAGTTATAGTTCTTTATAAATTAGTGGTTATTCAATGACGTCTAGTGTTATTTGTTTGTAACTGTTGTATTCACAAGTTGATCTTAACTAGACCATCATTGAAAACCTGGAAGTACTGATAACTTCAATCGATCCATTATTTACTTTTGCTTATTCTATGCAATGTTCACGGTATATAGAGAGTTAAGTTAAGAAAAATGAAGCCAAAAAGCAGTTAGTCATGCTATAAATCATGTGTGAATGTCAATCTACTATTCAATATATAATTAATAAACCAATGGTTACAAAATGTTGGTCGGTGGCCTATGCTCCAGTGGGGGTATCAGGCATAAGTAAGTAAGTTAGTAGGTAATACTCACTTTTAATTCATCTGCTTCAATAAATCCACTATGATCTTTGTCGAATTCTCTCCATACCTAATTAATAACAGTATAAAAATTAATAATAGTTAGGTTTTTCAAACACGTTACATTAGTAAAGAAATAAGAGTGAATCAAATAAATAAGAAAGTTTAATGTTCTGAAATCGATTTTATGTGCAATTATGGTGTAAAAGTAGGTTGGGGGAAAGCTAGGGGAGGCCAGACCAAAACATGGCACAAATCCATGAAGGCATTGACAAGTGAACTGAACCATGTTGGTAGGTGTATACTACCTGGTTGGGATCTGCGAGGTGATAGCAACCGATGGTTAGAGACTTTGAATGATATGACTCAAAATCGTTTGCAATGGTGTGTGCAGGTGTATACACTCTTTGTGTTCTCTCAAATTCAAATCTTCTGAATTCCTCATGTCCCGTATTTTTCCTCTTTCCAAATTTGTTTCACTGTATTATACTCTTTAAATAACATCTCCAAACCCTAATCTTTCCGATTATTGCTTATACTTTTACTACCTCTACCACTATAGGATTTGAATCGACAACTGCGTCTCTGTGTTAAAGTGTTATGGCAACTTCAACTGATCTACGTACTTACGAACTTCCACGTTGTTATTGACTGACTGCAACTATAAATCCCAGGTCAACATAAAACATCTTAATGCGACCTTATATTCGATAATTATCTTATTGTTGTTCATTTATAATGAAAACTATATTTCAATTCAAAACGTTTATTAGATAGAAATCAAGTAAGTGTAACTAAACAATATGTTTCTGAAAGAAATCACTAGCAATTCACTGTTGCCATAATATGAGTTTATTAGTTTACTTATTATTAGATTTATTCAATATTATATATTTGGTACAAAATTGAATAATTTTTCAGTACAAAGTATTTCAACAAGTTTCTTCTTCTTATCTCTTGATCAATCCTGACGACAACTACTGAGTGATCATCAGCTAAAAGTTAACAGTTCAGAAATCGACATTCTTTCAATGGATATTGTCAGTAACCACCATGTCTCTGATTGAGTTCTTTTGTAACTAATAGAGTTAAATTAGAGATAGACATGAGTAAAATAAACAAGAATTGGATGAAACTAGAAAAGAAAGTTCAGGACAGAAAGGGTTTGGAGAATACTGGTCAGTAGCCTATGCTCCATTAGGAGTAACAGGCGTAAGTAAGTAAGTAATTAAGTAACAGCGAAATGTCATAAGCATAGGTTATACGATTAATAAACATAACGATGTGTTAAAACAAATAAAAGAAACAACTAACTTGTTTAAATATCTAGATAACAAGAATAGGTAACCAAAAACTGTTGTAATAATTCATAATCAATATATTTTTCATTTCAACTTATTAAAATAATCATTTCAAGTTATTTACTACTAAGCTATAGTGTTAGATACTACTGAATAACACAAAGAGATAACCTCTACAAATAACATCTACACATCTTATTCCATGAAAGTAGATGAATCAGCGAATGTCCAGTAAATTATATAAAACTTACATGTGAATATTACATCACCCAGAAAAAAAAAAGAAGCAATAACATAATCATTTGTGATTATAATAAGTACCATATGACAACAACATCAGTAATAGCCTTCTGTGGTAGAGAACAAACCAACTTCCAGCTGAAGAAGAAATTAGGAAAAGACGATGGAAATGGATAGGACATACATTACGCATATCGTCAAACTGCATCACGAGGCAAGCCCTAACTTGGAATCCTTAAGGGAAGCGAAAAAGAGGAAGGCTAAAGAACACATTGCGTCGGATAATAGAAGCAGATATGAAAACGATTAATTACAACTGGACGGAGCTAGAAAGGATTGCCCAGGACAGGGTTGGATGGAGAATGCTGGTGAGCGGCCTATGCTCCTTCACAAGGAGTAACAGGAGTAAGTAAGAAAGTAATATGACAACAAGTCAATATATTATTCTCATTAAAATTACATCATTACACTTATATTGTTACTAACATTATTTAATAATTTAAATAATCTTGTAGTCATAGAAATCTTCTTATAAACATAAGATAATCATTTAAACATACTTACTTTATTTAAACAAGAAAAAGGAGAAAAAGAAAAAGAAAAAAAAAGAAACGGAACTTATTGAATATTGGAATGTAACTAATATTAAAACTGTTTTGTAACGAAATGATTCTACTTTCCTGATGCCTATTACACTTCTTTATTATCAGTTTTTCTCTTCAAGTGAAAAGGATGATATCGTTTTTGTTTTGGGAGGAGGAGAGGTGGGGGCAGGGGACGGGAAGGGGTACTGATCTAAACAAGATAAATGGGACAATACGTTTTATTTCTGTTAAATATTCATTTAATGATTAATTAAGTAGATATGGGTTTTTTTTGTTAAATGATACATTATGATAAATTAACTAATAAGAGACAAATAAGCCCTTCAAAGGAATAATAATAATAATAATGACCATAGTAATAATAGAGAAGATTAGGGTTACATTTTATAATGAGCATTTGAGCTACCTGTTCCTGCCATCTAGATATTTCAACAAATTATCTATTTTTGTTTGTCTTAATGTATCATTATGTCTATTAATCGCATAAAAGTGTACAACCTTTCGTTGTCAAAGTTACAAAAAACTCAATAAGAGAGAATGTGGTTGCTGGAAATATACAACGAAAAGAATGTACATTATTCAGATGTGTCATTTACTGGACTGTTAACATCTAATTGGCGATCACTCAATATTTATCGCCAGGACCAACCAAGAAGAAAGAAACAGAGACTTGTTGAAATACTTTGCACTGAGAATTCTGTATTGTACCAAAAATATAATATTGAATAAAGCTAATAATAATAATGATAATAATAATAATAATAATAATTAGAATGTATAATGATTATGTAACATTAGTTTGTTGTACAAGTGATATTAATTCAAACACTGAAATGTTTCAATCCATATATATCAACACATATACACAAATATATAGAAAATATGAATGTGTAGAAAAAGGTTATATGCACAAAAAAGAGCTATCTATTCCTTTTTCTTTTTTCTGTTTTTTAACTAGATAAATGTTCATTCACTTACTTACTTACTTACTTGCCTACTTACTTACTTACTTACTTAATTACGCCTGTTACTCCCAATGGAGCATAGGCCGCCGACCAGCGTTCTCCAACCCACTCTATCCCAGGCCTTTCTTTCCAGTTCTATCCACTGCTTGTTTTCTCATTTTTCCCATTTCTGTTTCCATTTCTCGGTGTAATGTGTTCACAGATCATTTTAAGTTAATAATCTTGTGCTCATTAGTAATTAGTTTCAAAATTCAGTTCTTAAAGTTCTAGTGAGAAGTTATGACGAATAGAGTTTAGTAGTTATCTATTATAAGTAATGACAAAAGGCTTCGGAATATCATGAATTGATTAACGTTAGGCATTAATACAATCGGAAGACAGTTTGTCAATCTAAAGGTTAGATGTTTACAAGCGAGAACTGAAGTTTATGAGATTGATTTCTGGTTACAAGGGTTGTGAATACTCGTTGGTAATAAGTCCATACTAGGACGAAACAGATTATAAGTGATTAAAAGTTTTCAATGACAGTTTAGCTAAGATTGATTCGTGATGAAGACTATAGGAAGATCTAGTTGTATTCATACTTCTTTGTGAAATGTGTAATTATATTGTTGCATTAAATAAGACTAAGTTATTTAGCAAGAATCGTTTTTGTTTTAAAAAGTTTGCATCATCTGGTTATTAGTTCGAAAGACTGCAGTCTCTTCTGACATTTGTACACTATGAGTGAATCGTTTTGGTATTATCACTTAATAATAAATTTTTTATTAAAGTTAGATAACAGTTAATAATAAAATCCAGGAAGTAAGTTTTGTATCAACTGAAACTTATCAAATGGATTCGCTTAAATTCCAGTCTTGATGTTCACCCAACTGAAATGAAAATGATCATGACTTTTCTTCTTTAGCTATAACGATACATTTTAAGGATATGGCCATAAGCATTATAATTATGGTCATTGATTTTATCTGATATTAATATATGTGTTCAGTATGTTTGTTTAGTCTCATACTCTTTTCGCTGAAATGAAGCAAGTTGTGAAACAAAACTATTTTTGGCTTCAACACATTTGAAATTCAATCTAAATTGAATGATAGATTGATTATTAAAGTTTGTTGTTATCAAAATGGTAATCTCAGCATAAACTACTGTCTTTTACACTTATCTTGGAATAATAATAACAGATTGTACCATTTTAATATTATGTTGTGGGAAAGGTATAAAATGTGCAAAGAAGGTAGGTTTTAAACAAAATATTCATTTATGCAAAGGTTGGTTTGCATAATAAATTTTAAAGTTATTCTCAGAACCCAGCATCTTATCATTTAAAAGCTTAATAAGTTATTTACTAAGCTACTGAATTCAAATAGTCATTGGCCTGTAAAGTATATGAGAATTTTTCATGAGACCGTCTAAGAAAGCTACTGTATTCAAGTCTGATATCCAGATGCATCAAATTGACTATTACTAAATAAAACAAACCACAAGTCCTGGATCCTACTCTTAACTAGTGATCAACTTAATTGAGAATAGTTTTGATTGAGTTTTAATTATCCAACGAAATCATCTATCGGAACATAAATATCGACTAGTCAGTTGTAATAGATATGAGCGCTAAACATTGAACATACATTTGAATAAAATCAACAAGAAGATAACCTGTCAATAGAGTTGATTTTAAATTTTGTCCAAGTTTATCAGAAGATAACCTTGCTCTTAATAACCTAGTCATGTATGTCAGAGTCAATAAGCTCTTTTGAATAAGCTATTTTAACATAATCTATTTCCATCCATTTATTATTGTATGGTATTCAGTTAACTGAAGTTAAAATAATAATCCATATAATAATCCCATCGTCATTTTTAATACTGATAATTATCATAATTTTGATTCTAAATTATACATAAAAAACCATAAAATAATACAAGATCGACCAGTAAACGTACTACTTATATTTACATGTTATTGGTCTATATCCTAATTATGATGTCTATTATGATTTTATCAGAATGAGTTTTGTGGAGATTTTAGAAATTTCACAGATTGAAATCATGAGTCAATTGAAGTTAGACCATCACGGAAAACCTGGAAGCACTGGACGGCCACTTCGTGCTGATATGGAACTCTTCAACAGTCCGCATCCATGATCCCGTATCCCGCGAGATTCGAACCTAGGGCCTATCAGTCTCGCGCCAAGCGCTTAACCAATAAGACCACTGAACTGGCACCCAACGGTGTTAATGTCTAACTTCAACCAATCCACAGAGTTGTGCCACTGTACACCATTGTCTTCAGTGAGTTCCTATCTCACAACAGACCTGGTTGAACTCTACTGATAGATCGTCTGATTTTGGATTTCTAATTGATTTGATTTTGAGTTGAAAAAGGCTACTTTTAAGCATAATAACAAACATATCATATATCCAATTACCAATAAAGAAAAGAGTTATCAGAAGGGCTTTTGTGAAGATTTTTAGTAAGTTCAACAGTTGAAATCATGAGTCAATTGAAACTGGCTAGTTGAAGTTAGACATTAACACCGTTGGATGTCGGCTCAGTGATCTAGTGGTTAATCGCTCTAGCGCGAGACTGATAGGTCCTGTGTTCGAATTTCGTAGAGGGGGGGTAGTATTGTGGATGCGCACTTCTGAGGAGTCTCATAATTGGACGAAACGGCCGTCTACTGCTTTCTGGTTTTTCATGGTGATCTAGATTCAACTGATTCATGATTTCAATCTGTGAAATTATCTTTATTTATCAGAATAAAATTATCGATTATCTTTTTTTTTCTTTCTTTCTTTTTCTTTTCTACCAAAAAGAATGTTGTTTTCACCTTTGTTATGATTGTTCTAGGTTTATTTAAATTCTTTAGAATGTAACTATACACCTATAAAGGTCCATATATTATCTTATATATAATAGACAAATAGTTATGTTTATCAGGGTACTTTTAATTAAACTTCATGGTTAAATGATACTTCATTTGACAAAAACATCATTAACAACACAAAGTGTGTTTTGGTAATGTCAACTAGACAGTTAATTGTTTGTTATCAATGAAAATCATTCAACTTAAACGATAGAATTCATTTAGGACACTTGTAAGGTCTAGTAATGATAATGTCTATAGTTGTCAACTAATCATATGATGAATAATGTTTATTTAATCATTTGTGTTGTAGGTATATACCTTTTTTTTTAAACAAAACGAAAGAAAAAACAGAATGATTTATTATCGTTTAATACAATCTTAGACTGAAATGACATTTCAGTTTTATCTATCAGATTAAACACACTAATATATATGTATGAATGAAGAACATTCTCTTCAATAAATTCTATTCCGCTTTAGTTATATGTCTAAATTATGGCATGTATTTGATTGATATCATGAATTGATCGGTATTAGATCATGATCGAAAACCTGGAAGAACTGGATGACCGTTTCGTCCTAGTGTGAGATTCCTCGGCACTGTATATCTACGATCTCACACTTAGAATTCGAACTCAGGACCTTTGGTTTCACGTGCGAACGCTTTGACTTATTATAATCATTACTGTTGTTTCCATATCACTATCAATCTTCTGAATATATGAATATTTTAGTCAGTATTTATCCCACTTTATTAGTTTTAAATGAATTCATGTCACTTTATATACAATACAGCCGTCGGCCGATGTTTGGTCAGATTTGTAACTACATTTTTATTTCACTCTTTCACCATACGTCACCCATATTTATTCTAATTATTAATCTTACAGTTTGATTTAACATACAAAACGTATACAAGTTAACATTGCTTGATAGTTATTTCAAAATACATACAATTTTAATTCATATATATTGGTTATTTGTTCAGTTGATGAGTTTCAATTAGAACGAAACGCGCGTCATGAATTCCACTACTACAGGTTCTGGGTTGAAGTCATACGTGTAGGATTGTGGATGCACACTGTCGAGGTTTCCCATACTATGACGAAGCTGCCATCTAATGTTTCCAGGCATTCAATGATGGTCCAATTTAGATTGACGGTGTGATTCACAACCTCTTGATTCCAAACATTATTGTCAAATCGTCTTTTTTTTCAAACTAATTTCATGGATCACCATTATGCAAGTATTTCTCTAATCGATTTTCAGTATAACTATTCGCTATATGTCGTGTATGTGAGCAGTAATTCTGGACCGTAGATTTTCAAAAACTGAATGAACGATAATATATGTGTAACTATATTGATGATTTCTAGTTTTTGGTAGTTTGACAGATGTAATCATTTTTGACATGAAAACTAACTTGAATGTACACAAATAATACAGTTGACTAAATGTACTTGATAATTATACACATTTGAAAGTTGTATTCATCAGAGTTCGGTCACAGTAGATGTACCATTGTGAACTACGTAACACTATACTGATATTCTGACTTAGTATGGGACTACTTAATATCCCACACACTGAGTTGTCTGTAAAACCTGAATACCATGGGTTCGGTCCCTTGTGTGAGGTAACCACTGAGGAGCTCAGTGCTAAGATGAAACAGTTGCTCTGAGCACCAATTCGTAAAGAATGAAGCTCGAACGTTAATCCAATCTCTACCACACACCATCAACTAATTTATGCAAATTATATATACGAATATACAGTTTGAGTAACTGATTTCGTCGGAAAGAAAATTTTCTTCGCTGAATTCTCTTTTTCTGATTCAATGACACTATGGGTTATTTTAATTATGCAAATTGTGTTACTGAATAGATTAGTTTATAATAAAAATCATTTTCGTCACAAAGTCCTAAGCTTTCAAGTCAAAGACATTTCAATGTTCATTAGTTTACCACTGTCTACCACCATCTACTGTACATTCAACTAATCTCTCTACAACTAACTAAACTAAATAAATAATTCTCTCCAAGAGTCAAGTGAGAACTCGTTTTGTTTTGAAAACCCTATTCTACCCATAATGTAACAGTTATCATCTGCGAAAATATCACCAACTGAATAAAAGTAGGATTACGATTCTTTTTATTGTAATTCGTTGATAATACATTCGCTTCCATTAATGATAGTCATGAGTGATAGGGTTTTAAGTGAGTATACTTGAAAGAAAAAATTATCGAATCAGAACAAAACAGCCTCAAAGTGATCTTTGATTTGGTTTTCAGCTAATAACATATTTTAATGATGACCCATCAACATAATGTTATATTATTGTACACTTTATGTTCTTTAGAAAGACAAAAGACGATTGCATAGGAATTTATGTATCATCAATATTATACAATAAGATAAGATATCAAAGGGGGAAACTTAATTAAAGACGTTTTCAAATGAATATGATAGATAGGAAACTATACTTTACATATATGTTAAATAGTAACAATGTAAGCGGATATTAAACGAGAATTATTTTACAATATTTCATTTTTTCCTTAGATTTTTTTCCCACTACATTCCAATATATGTGAATGAACGGAGGGGTTACTCTCATTGTTTTTTATGTGGTAAACTCGCTTATATGGTGAAAACTATATATGTATACTAAAAACAATACATATGACTGTGAACTCAAACGAAAACGCAAATCTCTGAGGATATTGATACTCATGACTTTGACAGTGTAATTAAAACGTACCCAGTAGCATTACATACAAAAAACAACATCAGCTCAACAGGTTTGTATATGTAGCATAGAATTCGTACAACATTTAGAAATTCTGAAAATACATTGTCCATAACTTGGTTTTTCTCATCTAGTATGTAACATATTGAACAATGAATATGGTTAATTATCCGCTCCCGTGAAGATATTCAATATCATACGGAATTCCCTTGATAACGGATTGAATTGCAAAGTCGTGCATGGAGGACTGCTCACAGACTTGTTCGAAGTAAACACTGGTGTCAAGCAAAGATGCTTAATCTCACCATTTCTCCTGGTCGTAATCCAGATGCTACAAATGTTTATTAACAGTTGTCTACGTAAAATACTTCGGATCCATTGGCCAGATACTATCAGCAACACTATTAGAGAACAAACCAGGTTCCAGCGGAGGAAGAAATCAGGAAGAAGCACTAGAAGTGAAGAGGACACATATTGAGGAAAGCACCCAACTGTGTCACAAGTCAAGCCCTCAATCAGAATCCTCAATGCCAAAGGAAAAGAGGATAACCAAAGAACATATTACACCGAGAAATGAAGACAGACATGAGAAGAATGAACAACATTTGGATAGGACTAGAAAGGAAGGTTCAGGACAAATTGGTCTGTAGAATGCTGGTAGGCTGCTTAAACTTCCCTAGGAGTAACAGATGTAAGTAAGTAAGTAATCCACTCATTGTTCGATTAGATGAATATGTATCTATATATACGAAACGGAAGATTATTCTAATAGAAAATTTAATTCTTAATATCAATAGAGTAAAACAACCATATTTACACTTAAAATGTGACTTTTTTCTTTACATAACATTATAATGAATAACTTACTTTCATAAAATCAACACTGGAGTTTAGCTTATTTTCTCGTTGAAATAAAATTAAAAACTCCTCATCAGTTGGAAGTAATTGAGCCAGCTATTACAAAAATGAGAATAAATAAATAAAAATAAACAAGGAAAGAAGTTAAATAAACAACGATAGAAGTAATAGGAAGTAAATGTGTAAACCACTCGGATAAGCTTAAGCTCTCCTCACAAGAACTGGATGCCCATGGTTCGATTCGTGGTAGGGGGTATGGATACAATACTGAGGAGTGACTTACTAAAACGAAACAGTTTCTTAGTGCTTCCTAGTCCTTAATGGTCAACTAACTTACATACATATATTTATTTGTTCATTTCATCATACTGTTTATTATCAGTGCGTTTACAATTTTTACCGTTTTTTTACTTCGAATATTTACATTTAGTTGATCACTTAGTAAGAAACAGTGTATTGTTTGTCCGATCCTTTTAGTCTTAATCGAATCTTATGAATCAGGTTGTAATGTGGCCAAATAAGTGACTTAACATTGAGTGTACTACACTGAAATGTAAGACAGTTGAAACTAGTTGATAGTAATCGATCAATACTAAAGTAATTAGATATACATGACCACTACTAGCTGCAACCATATGACACATTTTATGATTGGTAATTTCATCCACTTTCATTTATTATTAATGACATACAAATCATCATGATTAAGTTAACGTTTCTCTTATATAAACATATATCCTTTAAAAGAAGAGTATAGATCCAATGAGAGACAATACTGGTAGTAACTTATCGTTTAGGTATCTACCAAAAGCATTTCATTAAATTGATGTAAGGGGGTTTGTCAAGATTACAAAATTTTCACAGTTTAATTCAAGAACTTATATTAGCTCGAATACAGCTGAAAAATTGAGGCCACTGGGCAGGAGTTTCGTCCTAATATGTGATTAATCAGCAGTACACATTTGCGCTTAACCAAGGATTGATTCTAGGACTTATGGCCTTGCGATTAGCACTTGATGTTGAGACCATTACATCATAAACCGAGATTTTACATTTCTAACTTAAACCAGTTGGCGACATTGCCCAATTATCTATAGCAACCGATGCATAAATATCTCACACTGGTCATTGTTGAACTCCTCTGGTCATAGCCTCTTACTAGAACTTCAGGAATTGTATTTCAAATTTAGCCACAAGTAAACACACGACTGGTAACTGTAGTGGGGATTTGTGGAGATGGTTGAATTTTCATTGCTTCCGACACATCTTAAAAAGACAAGCCTAAGTATGGTTAACAACTTGGGTGAATAACAGCGTTTCTTTATTGCATTACCACCACTCCGTTAAGCTCCCCAGTGAATTACTTCCAGTGTTCTAAAATGTTCTTAGTCTACAGAAATAAAATTTGAAGTTGGTGTGCGTTGAATATGCACTGATATCAGTTAAGAAACCACTAAAAATTCCACTGCTAAGATGATTATCATTCAGCATTATGAATTGCTTAACGTTTAGACCATTACGAGTCATATGATTTCAAATTTGTCATTCAAAGATACCATGGTCATCGTAAACATTAAGGTTCATATGTTTGATTTCATATGGAATGTTGTGTATTCAATATTTAGAAATTCGCAGAGTAAGACGATACAATATTTTAGTGTTCCTTCGTTTTCCGTTAATATTTATTGGTAATACAAATCCGACATCAAATCACAAAGAATGTGCTCACAGCTGAGGAGTCCTGTACTAAGACAAAATCGTCATCCAGTGCTTCCTGGATTCTAATGGTAACCCAACTGATATCAATATGCAATGAATAGATTCGACAGATATGAACATAATATAGAAGGACAAGATTGACCCAATAATCATTGAGGCTGGTTGGATTTAGTCTTTCACGAAACTAATGCAAAATGAGTAAATAGACGGGATAATTGTGTATTTATTGTGAGAAGTTACAAAGTATTTGCATAATACTTATACATAACCCTCTGCATTATGAAATGTTTTCGCGACTAGCTTCAACGTGAATTTTTTGGAGTGCTAGTTAGAAGTCGTGACCAAAAGAGTTCGATCCGTGATGGGTTGTAGACAGTTATCCAAATCAGACAATGGATGATGGATTGCGCAATATTGTGGATTGGTTGAAGTTAGACTTTATTACCGTTGGATACCGGATCAGTGGTCTGGAGGTTAAGAGTTCACTCGCGAGACCGATGGTCCTGGATTCGATTTTCCGCATGCGAGACTGTGGATGCGCACTGCTGAGGAGTCCTATACTAGAATGAAACTGCCGTCTAGCAATTCCAGGTTTTCAATGATTATCTAGCTTAAATCGACTCTTGAATTCGACCTTATATTATTTAACGAACAAGTTATAAATATCTATGAATCAATAATTTGAATGGTGTTGAATTTAACGTGACGTTTGGTAGTTGAACGCTTGACACTGTTTTTCTAATTATTTCACTGCTTCCTAGAAATCTCCTGCTCTTGGACTATGAATGAATGATAACGATACGTGGGATGAAAAGAAGGTAAACGTTCAAGGTATTTTTAAGATTTATCGATGACTTTGTTATTTCGGGTGCTTTCATAAGTACGTTAAAATCACTAGTAGAACCAGTGACTACCCAGTGAAAATATGACGTAATAGACTGCTTTTTTGGAACTGTCTGAGGTCTATTTGAAGGACTATTTTTAGAAATCCACCGACTTCAAAAGACTTTTGCAGGGAATTCTTGTAGATTCTTAACAACCGAAAAAATTGCTGTATTACTCGACAGTATAGAAAAATAGTTAAAGTTAACAAAAGGAACAAAATAACACTCAATACCAACATAAAGACAATCATGCATTAACTAGTGGTTCAATTCCATTTATGGATCTCAATTATCAAATTGATTAAAAAAATGGTTAATAAAGTAAAAGCATCATATAAATTGGACTAAACGTTTTATAGCTGATCAATCATTAAATAGTGATTAGTTTCATGTATTACTAGTCATTCTTTATGTTGATCAGTAATATCATTCTCCCAATTTGAGAATTGAATGTTCTACATTTAAATACTCAAGTAATCATAGATTAGTACTTTTTGAAGAATCATATACCTATAATGATTATAAATGTTTAATGTCCCCCCCTCCCTGTTTCTTTTAACACTTAGCAAACAATAATGATTTATAATTTCAATGGTTAAGATCATGAGTCAGTTGAAGCTAGACCACCATAAAAAACCTGGAAGCAATGGATGGCCGTTTCGTCCTATTGTGGGACTCCTAGGCAGTGCGCATTCAAGACCTCGCCCTCTGCAAGATTCCAACCCAGGACCTACTGGTTTCGAGCGCGAGCATTTAACCACTAGACCATTAAGCCGGTATCCAACGGTGTTAATGTCTAACTTCAACTAATCCACGAAATTGAGCGACATATCCACTATTGTCTTAAGTGAGTTACCATCTCACAACAAACCTGGTTGAACTCCACTGGTCACTACTTCTCACTAGAAATGTAGAATATACCTTTTGAAGTCAATCACTATTGAGCACATGTCCATAAAACCTATCTGATATTAATAATAATTTATATTGAAAACTAATTCAAACTTTTAATTAATTATGAAACATTTTAACTAACTCATCATTGATCATCATTATGCCAAAAAATAAAAATAGAAGAAAACAAAAACGTATATACCAAACATAATTTAATGCATATCATTTTAATTAAATCAATTCTAATGGGATAGTTTAATGTTTTACATGGAAACAAAAGAAGTAAGGGGGTGGGAGTGGGGTAAAGGAAAGATACATTACACATTTTATTTTATATACTCTCATTAAGTATGATGTTAATATAAAATGATATCAGGAAATGTGAATTAATCAAACGGATTTCTGTCGCCAGTAAAATAATCTCTAACAATAATAATGTATGTAATGTATGTATATATATATTGGTATAAAATACACTTTAGGGATGCTAAATACAATCAGATTACAGTCAAAATAGTTAAAAGCAATTAACTAGTATTCAATATTACCTTTTTAAAATGAATGAGATTTTTAAGTTTTAGAGAGACGTTTTATTATTCTATATGAGATAATAATACTAATAATAATCAGTATTCAATTATACTGTTAACTGATCATAGTTGGAAGAAGAAAAACAAAAAAACAAACAATGAAAACTAGAAAGTATTGGATAGTATAGGACTCATTCATAAGTGATTGTCAATGAAGATACTATTCATCGAATACAAATCTTCAAGTTATGGAAGTTCACTGAAACTTTAAACTACTGAAATAGTAATATTCAATGATGTATGCAATATGTAACTTCAATCGATTCGTGATATTGGTTAACTATTTCTTGATGGTATTGATGAATTATGATGTGTGCTACTGATGTCGATAGATATAAGTAGTATGTGTCATCAATCGAAAATGAATTATCTAGTGGCAGAAGGTTAAGAAGATCAAAGAAAAAAGAAAGAGAACGAAGAATGATTGGTGTAGAAATGAGAAAACAATGAAGTCTGAGACGATTGACTGATATTTTGTTAATGAAGTATTTAATGTATGATTCTCAGATTATATTAAGATGTTCTGTGATTTTGTGTCCAACTGCATCCAATTGTTCTCACTTATTCACTACAGGGTAACTATCTAATATCCAATATAGTTAAACTCTATGTTACCACATCTCGTAAGAACTACCATGATTATCTCCAAAAACTATTCATTAGCTAACACATATAAATCAATTAGTAAAGGGGATTTGTGGATATCCATGAGTTGTTTTAGATATGTTAAACAGCTTTAGTATTGATCAAATTCATAGCCTATTCTTATAAACATCTAAGCAATTACTGTGTTCATTAATGACTGTATTTGCGAAATATTCCTAAACTTCTGGTGAGAATTCATGAGCGGTTGTGTCTTAACATATCGATCGTGAGACAGATATTTCACGTTGGTAATAAATGATATCTGCACAATTTCACAACTCTCCATTAATCCCTGTGTTATGTCTCGATAAGCATAATAGATGGTAACTTTTGAGATCTATTTATGGACCAATACTATGCGTAT